TATATATATATATATATATATATATATATATATATAATGATTTTTGTTACAAGCAAAATAAGCAGATCATAGGTTTTTCTCTGTGAAGATCAAAGATGCTGCTCTTCCTCTCTGACCTATGTTACAACAAAGGAAGATGAAAAAAAGACCACTGGTCATAGATGATCAAAGAAAAGGATGCACTTCCACAGCAATTGTAGTTGCTTATTGTAGCATTCTAGGGCCTTCAATTAAGGTGTGCAAATGACAACTCCACTCTGATCCCATCTGCCCAGATTATCTAGGCTTTGAAAATAGGATGAATGTTTATAAATGTGCCCCAATGTCTCTAACATCTATTAAATATATTAGTCCCCCATTAGGTGTGAAGCCAGCTGATAACCTTGGGCTGGTAGCTTTTTTTCAGTCTTAGGAAGGAGGCCACGGGAAATCACAAAGGACTTATCCAGGCAGTTGGCAAGAACCTGGCATGTTTGAATGAATCGCTAAGTAAGAGATTGCATATATCTCACTCACAAAGATGTTCAGAACCCATAACTACTGTTTATAACACATACTAGACTGCCCCTGCCAACTGAGAAAGGCAGTTAAAAAATGCAGGATAACGACATTTTCTTCGCTAGGATCTGGCAGTGGGCCTTTTCAGTACAAACAAACCAGCAATGGCATCCAAGCAGTGACAGCTCCTGGAGACAAGAGATGAAATATTTTTGCTGAGTTGATGCTCAGCTTGGACAGATTCCCTAAAAGAGGATCTTTCCCAGTTCTAGATGATACAGGATCTTTCTGTATCACCTAGGCAAGTTTCTAGATAGGGGATTTTTCCCAGTGCTGTGAAAGATACCTATCTGGAAACTTGCCTAGATGATATATAGGAAGGCATGCTGCAGCCCTACCGTGTTTCCCCGAAAATAAGACAGGGTCTTATTTTCTTTTGACCCCTAAAATAAGTGCTTAGCCTTATTTTCGGGGAGGTCTTATTATTTTTGAGGTGCAGGAGGCGGTGAACGTGGTCACCTCATGGCTGCTACTGTGTTGCAATATTTTGGAGGGAGGGCTTAGTTTAGGGCATGCACTCAAAAGCCCGATTGGGCTTATTATCTGGGGAGGTCTTATTTTCAGGGAAACAGGGTACATTTTTATCTTAATGGGGCAAGCCTGATAAATGTTAGTAAGCTGTATCCTTACCTTTCTTCAGGTTGATGAGTGCAGAGACCAGGGCTGGGTCGATATCACAGGGGAGTCCTGCAGCAGTGGCCAATTCAAAGATGCTCAAAGTCACCTAAAGGGATGGCAGAACCAGATCTTATGAGAGGGACAAAACTGCTGCTGGACTTTGTCCCTTTTCTCTTTCTTATAACATTCCCTGTCGCCATGGTGGATCTAGCTTAAGCAAAGAACATATTAGAATTTCAGACTGTAATACCTCAGACTGCAAATGGGCCATATATTTTCCCGGGTTGCTAGAAAGAAAGCAACATATTTTCCTGTGTTGCTAGAAAGAGAGCGACATAACTCTTCTTAATTAAAACAAAAACAAAAAGATCACGTATCTTCGCTCTCCAGTGGTAGTTTTTACAAAAAGAGTACACATTCACCACTTTTTATAAAACCAAAATATGGTTTCTTTGGTTGTAAGCTGAAAACAGAGTAAAATTGAATCTGATATAAAGCAAGGTGTGATCCTCTTACTTAAAGGAAATTTAAAAAACAAGACCCAGAAAAAATGAGGACTTCTTATTTTCCCTCAGAACTTTGCTATTTCATTTCCACTTCATGCTATTTAAGCTTCATTGCTATATTAAATGTACACATGTGCAAAGCTTATATTTGACACTCAGTGGTTTTCTACACATTATAGCTCTGGCTGTAGGAAACACAGAAGCTCATGATGTAATGACACTACATCACAAATGAAGATTTGATGGGCATCACTATCTGGCTTTCTGTCACTTCTCCACACACCAAGATGAAAAGGAGATATTAGATAATTCAACATTGTTTTGTCCACGGTTAACCTAGACAGAACGCAAGACAGGTTGCCTCGACTGCTCCATCCTTGTTAGTCTTTTGTCTCAGTAATATTTGCATATTCAGGAACAAAACCAATGAAGCAAAGCCAAAAGAGCAAAACCAGAGATATTCAGAGTAATTGCTAAGGTAGACCTAAAATAAAATGCCATGTAGATAAGTGCTGTTTTCATTGTAAAGTTATAATAACAGAGGCTTGCCCCCTTTATCTTTGTGAGAACTATGGAAGGTCTCATTTGAGGCATTTACTCAGGTTACATTCCTGCCTTGGACTTAGTCCCCTTGTATTGTCTTGGTCCTCCTGTCCCTCAAGGCCATTCTCCCTTCCCTCCCACACTTTGTGCCAGGGCTGACTCGTTACGCACCCCAACTGCAAGTGACAACAGAAACAGGGAGGGGGAGAGCAAGGTTTGGAATGCAAGGGAGGCTTGGGAGGGAATTGTGGAATGCAAGAGAGCCGACTGTCACCTAGCAATGTCCTAATGTCAAACGATGGGGACGCTCTAAGGTGCTCAGACCATTTCCCAAAACAAATTGACTGTAACTGATTACTGGACAATGAATAGTGGGTAGCCCAGGAGAGAAAAGGGAATTTTACCTATGCTGCTTTGCATGCAAAAATTTCAGAACTGGCTTTGTGTCTTCTGTGCCTATGTGCAATTATCAGTAAAGTTATACGCTTGGTAAAATAATGTCCCAGGAGTTTCTTTTGCTGTATTTGCCATAGGGACTGTTGACACCTTGCATGTAACCATATGATACTCATTACACAAACACAGCTTTCTAAATGTGGATGAAGTCCTAAAGGTTTACAGCATCTGGAGGAGATGCAGTTTTTACTTTGAATTTCAATGGAGATTCATTATATTAATTCTCCCAAATATATGACTATGACTATCCATTTCTTTGACAAAGTGACAAAATTAGTGGACTAGAAAAATGTTGTGGATATAATTTACTTGGTCTTCAGTAAGGCATTTGATAAAGTAGACAACAACTTACTATTGATAAAATAGAAACATGTGGGTGAGATAGCATCAACATTTGTTGGATTCGTAACTGGCTGACCAACCACACTCAATGTGTGCAGTCCTCAATGGAACTGTATCTACATTTGGGAAGTAAGCAGTGAGGTACCCCAAGGCTCTATCTTAAGCCCAATACTCCTCAATATCTTCATCAATGATTTAGATGAGAGGATAGATGGAAACTCATCCAATCTGCAGACAATACCAAGCTGGAGGAATAGCCAAGAGTCCAGAAGATAGTTTTAGGATACAGAGGGAGCTTCACAAACTTGAACAATGGGTGCTATCTAACAAAATGAAATGCAATGGTGAAAAAAGTAAGGTACTACATTTAGGCAAGAAAGACCAAATACACAGGTATAGTATTGAATTGAATTAAATTGAATTGATTATATTTCTATGCCGCCCTTTTCCCCGAAGGGGACTCAGGGCGGCTCACAACCCAAGTCAAGGGGGAAGGGTACAAATAAGGAATAAAAAGACAGACAAAACAATACCATAATTTAAAAGCACACAACAACCATACCATTCGAGGGGGGACAAGACTCATTAGCCCCAGGCCTGTCAGAATAGCCAGGTTTTAAGGACTTTGCGGAAGGCCTGGAGGGTGGTAAGGGTTCGAATCTCCACGGTAGGTGGAGTAGTATAGGTGGTACCTGGCTCAATAGCAGTAACTGTGAGAGGGATCTTGGCCTCCTAGTGGACAATCACTTAAATAGGAGCCAGCAGTGTGCTCCAATTGCCAAAAAAGCCAACACAGTCCTAGGATACATTAACAGAGGGATAGAATCAAGATCATATAAAGTGTTTATACTACTTTATAGTGCCTTGGTAAGACCACACTTGGAATACTGCATCCAGTTTTGGTCACAATGTAAAAAAATGTTGAGACTCTACAGAGAAGAGCAACAAAGTTGATTAAGAGTCTGGAGGCTAAAACATATAAAGAATGGTTGCTGGAATTGGGTATGGTATGTTTAGTTTAATGAAAACAAGGACTAGGAGTGACATGATAGCAGTGTGCCAGGGGTGGTATTCACTTACTTTTCCTACTGGTTTGCAAATGTGAGCACACACATCCACGTATGGCCTCCCGCGCATGTGCTTTGCTTGCATGTACGGCTTGCTCGCATGCGTGCAGCTTGAAAATGTGCCTAAATAGGACAACATAGAGCCGGGGCGGGTGAGCAGATCCACCCACAATTTCCACTACCGGTTCAGGACAACTGGTCTGAACCGGCTGAATACCACCTCTGGCAGTGTTCTAATATCTATGGGGTTGTCACAAAGAAGAGGGAGTTAATCTATTCTCCAAAGCATCTGAAGGCAGGCATGGAAGGAAACTAATCAAGGAGAGAAGCAACCCAGAACTAAGGAGAAATTTCCTGACAGTTACAATAATTAATCAGTGGAACAACTTGCCTCCAGAGGCCGTGAATGCTCCCAACTGGAAGTTTTTAAGATGAGATTAGACAACCATTTGTCTAAAATAGTATAGGATTTCCTGCCTGAGAAGGGGATTGAAACTCCAAGGTCCCTTCCAAATCTGTTATTCGTTGCCTTGTGCTGTAGACATCTTATTAAAGTAAGGCAAATAATGTGTTTATGTTTTCTTACTGCCCATGTTGCCTCCCTACTTGCACAAATACAAGATCGAGTGGGAAGAAGAAGCGAAACACATGTGGTTAATTCAGGATCTGTGACAAAAGAAACAATTTCCCCCATTGGATTTGCTCAGGCAAGATCTTGCCCCTCTAGGATGCTACTTCAGTTCCCTGTATCTCAATCTTCCCTGAACCTCGCCTCCACAACTACAGCCAAATGCAATTTCTTTTATTTGAGGATGATCCTTCAGGCATACAGGCTGCCTGCCTGCTCCCCTACCTTGTGGCAAGGCCACTTTGCATTCCTGGTGCTCCGTCACTGAAATGGGGCCACCGACTCTCTAAATGCATGAACTGGATTTAAATTTTCAGTTGCTTCCAAGAGCCAGAAGGAAGAAGAGAAGAGGAATTAACTGGCCGTGAAAGTCTTCTGCTGATTTCATGTAAAGCTGACAGAGAAGGCAGCTGGGGGCTAAAGAAAGTATTAAAACATTTATGGTTGTTTAAAGAGGAACAGGTCGGCTCCTGCTAACTTATGCCCACCCTATCAAGCATCTCTATGAAATACACAAGCTGATTTAAGCAGAGAGGCTGGCAGTGAATGACAGAGCATCTACCCTCTCATTTAGGTAGGTTGTACAAATTCAGCACCCTTGCAGTAAATACGGGGCCTTATTTCTACAGATCTTCCCAATTCTTAACTCCTGCCTGTTGATTCATACTTTGTTTTCTACAGCTAATACAAACTCAGTTAACTTTGTAGACTGGTAGGGATTGCCAAGAATCCGGAGCAAATTAAAATGAGCTCCCCTTCTTCCATCTTCTTGGAATCAAAGAAAGACTATCCTGCAGCTGCAGGGCTCAAAAACATATGGCTCCCTGTGTGCTTCTCACCATTGTGTGTCCTGAAATAAATAAAAGTGTTGTGAAATCACGTGTCCTATTAAACCGTAATGTATTGATCCAATCAAAAACAATATGGAATTAATACAACAGATGACCAAGTTATTTCCACCTGCTTGAACAATTTTTTGACTCTGTAAGGTAAAGGTTCCCCTTGCACATATGTGCTAATCATTCCAGACTCTAGGGGGCGGTGCTCATCTCCATTTCAAAGCCGAAGAGCCAGCACTGTCCAAAGACGTCTTCGTGGTCATGTGGCTGGCATGACTAAATGTCAAAGGCACACGGAACGCTGTTATCTTCCCACCAAAGGTGGTCCCTATTTTTCTACTTGCAATTTTACATGCTTTCAAACTGCTAGGTTGGCAGAAGCTGGGATAAGTAACAGGAGCTCACTCCATTACATGGCACTAGGGATTCAAACCGCCGAACTGTCGACCTTTCTAATTGACAAGCTCAGCATCTTAGCCCCTTTGACTTTGTACCCTACTCTTAATCATGATGCAGTTCTGAGTGTTAGAGGCCTGTGCAGAAAACAAACCAGGAATAAGGTTGAAAGCTGCAAACAGAGTACTCTGCTTATACATCATACCAAGCTACAATTATAATTGCATTCAACAAATCACAGTTGCAAATATTGCTTTTGTGCTGCAAAATTTAATCTTGTGTATTTACTGATGCCGTTTACATATTGTGCTAAGACAAAAATAAGGAAG